ATCATATTCTAAACGTTATTGCACGCAAATAGTATTTAATCATCTTATAAAATGTGATTTTAATGAATAAAACTCTCATTTTCGTTCTAACAGCCGCGAAGCCCAATGGACCAAGGCCTCAAGGCGTCCAACTTGGACGCTTGGCCAAGTTGGACGCCTTGAGGCCTTAGTCCGTTGGGCTTCGCGGCAGTTTCGTGATTTCGGCCCAATTTCGCTCCGTTTTGGCTCCGAACACTCTTTTTGACCTCCCGGAAGCTCGTTCAGGCCCGAATCTTGATCCCTTGATGATTTATTCCCTTTTTCTCAAGTATTTGACCATAGAATGGATGATTTATGATGATTTTATGTGAAATCCCTTTTTATGACTCTTAGAACGAAAATGAGAGTTTTATCCATTAAAATCACATTTTATGAGATGATTAAATATTATTTACGTGCAATAACGTTTAGAATATGATGTAAATGATAAGAACGAAACAGACTTATCAAATTCCTCACACTTAAACGTTGCTTGCCCTCAAGCAACAAATTGAATAATTACAAGTATAAAGAGAAATTAATAATTACAGAGGGAAGGTTTAAGCTACATATTATGTAGTAAAGAAGAAATAAGATAGTCATCAACCTTTTTGTTAAGAAGAAATGAACCTTTAGATTCTCACCCATATTGTTAGAAATGTAAAAGAATTTTTGTCAAATCAATATTTTTACACCAACCTAAACAACCATAATTTTCCAAACTTTCTTTGGGATAACTACATTTGTAAGAGTACTTCAAAGATCAAATAATTTTTTAATGACTAAATTGGAAAATATGTTCTTGCAAAAGTATTTGTCAAAGTGTAAGGGTTTAATTTTCTTTGGCATAACTTTGTCATGTTGACACGAGAAAAATTATAACCTCATCCCGTGACATGGAACCACGAGCTTTTTGGATATTCACTCTGGAAAGTCTCATCACACGATATAGAACCACATGCTTTTTTACTCTAACACTTAAAAGGCCTCATCACGCAATATAGAACCACGTGCTTTTTCGGCATACTCACCACCCCTCATCAGTTGACCTAGAACCAACTGCTTTTTGGCTAAAACAGAATCTCGGTCTCACCAAAGTATGCTTTGAAACATCACCCCTTATACTTTGAAAATAACTCTTTTTAAGAAACAACAAATACTCATAAGAGCATCAGCAAAAAGATTTTCAATAAAGCACTTAAAAATTAAGTGATCTAAAAAAAACTCTTAATAAATTGTGAATTTATCCCAAATCATTTTAGAAAACATTCCCAAAAGGTTAGAGTAAAAATAAAAGTTTGACAAAGAGTTAAAAATTTCCAACTTTTACGGGTGATAACTAAAGATTAATTAATCAAACAATTAAAATTGATGACTATTCTATAAAAATCTTTTCCTACAAATACATAGACAAAACAATTCCTAAAAAGATCATTTCAACCACGAACTCTTACCTCCTCACACTTAAACGGAACCACGCCCTCGTGGTTAATAGTATTTTTGCATTGGAGTTAATGGTTGAAATGCTCACATGCAATTACTAAGTTATCTCAATACTTACAAGATTCAATGATGAAGATTGAAATAATAGATAATCATAGCATGTAAAAAGGAAATAATGCATAAAATTTTCTCAAAATGGTTTTAAGAGTCATGTTGTGAAATTCCAAAATAAAAATCAATCAAGCATCCAAATCATGTTCCAAATAATAGAGAAAAAGAGACTTTACTGAGGAAGTCAATATTCTCTCAGTAGCCAACTTCAACCAGGAATGCTGGATCAAGAATAATCAAAGGCTATAGAACCTTTGTGTTTACCCCACATGCATAACCTCTTCTTCGCTTCCTCTATTAGGTAATCCCTACGGTTCTCCCATCTGCAAAAACAAAGACAACAAACAAAATAACTCTTGCCCCCAAAACTGGTGCGGCAAGCAAAACCTCAAAAACTAACAAATAAAACTATTGAATTTATTTAATTATTTTAGTTATTTGAATGACGGGTTGCCTCCCGTTAAGCGCTTCTTTAACGTCTGTAGCTTGACGCTCACCCACTTTTTCCGCGACTTCCCGATCCGAGAGTCATAAAGTTTGGCACTTCTGACTCTCTTCTGGTGCCACCTTGTTTGATTTGTTGCTCGGTCAAGGTCCAGGATCCTTGACTCGTCCCTGCAGCTTGGCGGCAACAGGATAAAAGGAGGAGACTCTAGATAGGTGGGTGGTGGCAGAAGTCTCCTTAGTTGATCCACATCATTGGCCTTCATAGCGAGATTGATTTTTTCCTTATCTTCAACAGGCTGACCATCCATTTGTGGTTTGATGATTACGACCGTGCTTTCCCCCATGGATGAGTCTTCAGTGTCACTTACCAGAAGTTCATCCCAACTCTTTTGGCTCCAACTATCCTTCGGGCAGACAAAGTCACACCCGTCAAGTAGGGAGTCAAAGAAAGTTTGGTCTAAGTCTTCTGATGGAGCATGATTATCTATAGACGTTATTGGTTCCTCTGTGCTAGGTATTTTTTCATCTATAGATTCCTCCTCAGACTCTTGAACGTTGGAATCTTGGGGGTAGGTAGTGGGCTCTATCTCCTCCAGAACAGATTCCTCTAGAGGTGTGTCTTCAACACAATTAAGGAGATGGTCATTTATTGCCATAGGCAAAACTTCCTCCTTCTTTTCTTGAGTAAGCATAGGTGGTTCTGAGTCAGGTCCCTCAGTTGGTTCCACCTCATGTACGACTATGCTGGTTGAGACCTGGCTAGGAGGACATTCAGGTAACCTCACCACAGTAGCCCTAGCAAGAGTTGTTATGCTCTCGGGTTTCTGTGATGGTGCGGGACTAGGTGAATCTTCTAGAACCGGGACCTGATGGTTGATGGGTTCAGGGTTGGTCTTAGGTTCTAAAGCCTCTTTTTGAACATTAATCTCCCTCATTTGATCTTGAGATGGGAGGGAGCGTTTAAGTTCAACAGCCTTGCAGAGATCATTGACTAATTTATCAGCTTTAGCTTCGGCTTCTAGTCTCTCTCTTTGGAAGTCATCTAGCATTTTCTGCATCATATCTGATCCTTCGCATAATCTCCTTTCGAACTCCTTTTCCTTCCGGACTGATTCAAGAAGTTTTGCTCTTTCTCGAATTGCCACCTTGTTTGCTTCAATTTGTTCTTCAGCAAACAAGGTATAGTCACGGGAGTAGGGTGGTTCGTACCAAGAGCCTTCAGCGAATAAAACCTCGTCGAAATAGAAGATTTTCTATTCTAATCTTATGATTTCTTCGATGAGTTGATCAGGTTGATCGTCGTACATAAGCCCATTGCGGTCATAGTCATTGTGATCACCATGAGGTTCATAATAATTATCCCCATCAGAATCTTGGTATGGAGAGTATCTAACATTTCTAGATGGCGTATCATACGGTGGTTCCTCATGGTAAGGATAGTAGTCAGACCCATTGTTGACTTGGTAGTCATCATCATATGGGTACTGATGTGGGTGATAGGTTTGGTGGGTTTGGTATGGAGGGCGGTTGGGTGATTGGTAGTAAGAAAGCGGACCGTAATAACCACTGGGGTTATCCATAATAATTATTACGGGTGGTTGGTGAAAAGAAGTGAGAAGATCGTTCTAACCAATCTTCACCCAAGCTAATCAGAAGAAATTAAACTAATGCCGTGCCACTCCCCGGCAACGGCGCCATTTGACAGTTGTAGTTTTTCGGGTAGCAAACCTTCCCAGTAAAGGGTTAGTTTTCTCTCCGAGTGTCGTATCTCTCGAGGAGTGGACGAAGAGAATTAGCTTAATTACTCTAATTAGGCGAAGATTAGGATTGGTTTATGAAAGTCTTCTCGTAACGATTATAAAAGGAGTAGAGTAAAAATAATAAATAAATTTCACATAGTATAAGTATAGATCTGGACCTAGGGTCTGGACATCATTTGGATTTATTTTATCATATTGAATCAACGATTGGAATAATAATATTTCTATTACTACTCATCCATTTCTAGATTTGTACTTAATCCGTTGTACTTGAATATCATAGCCTTTTGGCATACCATATTTTCTCAATAAATGGCCAATTAAATCTTTCAAGTTTAATTAACCAAATAAGGCAAGAACAATAGATTAACCATTCCAACATTAATTTAACATAAAAAATAAACAACCAAACTGGTCCGGACCCAGAGATCTGGACCCTAACTCATACTATGCAAACATAAATTAAAACAGCATTTTATTAAATAAGGAAACTTACAACTTCCGTACAAGCGGAATTGAACAGATCGGGAGTCAAATCCTCCGGAAATACTCTAAAACTACTACTAAAACTAATATACAAAGTATTTTAAGCAATTGAGAGAGTGGAACCCGAAATTGGGTTGAAAATGGATGATAAAAATGAGAAGAATCGTGCTGTATTTATAGGAACGAAGCCAAGGCGTCCAAGTCAAAGCGTCCAAGTCCAAGTATCCAGATCTGGACGCTTGAGCTGCTCTGGCCAACCAGGTTCTGCCACGTGTCTTCCTTGGTCTGCAATCCAGCCAAGGCGTCCAACTCCCAAGCGTCGAATTTGGCCAAGCGTCCAAGTTGGACGCCTTGAGGCCTTGGTCCGTTGGGCTTCGCGGCAGTTTCATGATTTCGGCCCAATTTCGGTCCGTTTTGGCCCCGAACACTCTTTTTGACCTCCCGGAAGCTCGTTCAGGCCCGAATCTTGATCCCTTGATGATTTATTCCCTTTTTCTCAAGTATTTGACCATAGAATGGATGATTTATGATGATTTTATGTGAAATCCCTTTTTATGACTCTTAGAACGAAAATGAGAGTTTTATCCATTAAAATCACATTTTATGAGATGATTAAATATTATTTACGTGCAATAACGTTTAAAATATGATGTAAATGATAAGAACGAAACAGACTTATCAAATTCCTCACACTTAAACGTTGCTNGCGGCAGTTTCATGATTTCGGCCCAATTTCGGTCCGTTTTGGCCCCGAACACTCTTTTTGACCTCCCGGAAGCTCGTTCAGGCCCGAATCTTGATCCCTTGATGATTTATTCCCTTTTTCTCAAGTATTTGACCATAGAATGGATGATTTATGATGATTTTATGTGAAATCCCTTTTTATGACTCTTAGAACGAAAATGAGAGTTTTATCCATTAAAATCACATTTTATGAGATGATTAAATATTATTTACGTGCAATAACGTTTAAAATATGATGTAAATGATAAGAACGAAACAGACTTATCAAATTCCTCACACTTAAACGTTGCTTGCCCTTAGGCAACAAATTGAATAATTACAAGTATAAGGAGGCACGACCTAGAAGGCAGCATACAATTCCTATGACTCTTCGCGAGCTTTTGCAGTCTATGTTTGCATTCCAGGATTCTGTAGACTCTCGCTTAAGGAGCATGGAGACGCTCCTTCTCACGCAACAATGGCAGGTGGAGGAAATACTTGAATACACCCGGGAACAAGGAACAAAGAAGGCCGAGCATGAGGCAGGTCCGAAACAAGGCAAGCGTCAGGGATAGTGAGATCCTTACTTTTCCTTACTGCATTCAGAACATTAATTTTGGATATTTATATGATCGTATGTTAGAATTCTTATTTTCATGACTCTTAAAACCCTTTTTGAGAATATTTTATGAATTATTTCATATTTACATGTTATGGTCATCTATTATTTCAATCTTCATCTTTGAATTTTATAAGTATTGAGATAACTTAGCAATTGCATGTGAGCATTTCAAATAATTAACTCCAATACCAATAACACTCCTAAACCACGAGGGCGTGGTTCCTTTAGGTGTGAGGAGGCAAGAGTTCTTTGTTGAAATGATCTTTTTAGGAATTGTTTTGTCTATATATTTTTAGGAAAAGATTTTTATAAAATAGTCATCAATTTTAATTGTTTGATTAATTAATCTTTAGTTATCACCCGTAAAAATTGGAAATTTTTAAACTTTTTTATCAAACCTCTATTTCTACTCTAACCTTCAAAGGAGCATGTCAATCACCTCACCTTGGTGATTAAGAAGTTAGATGAAGAAAAGCTGTACGGGAATCTCGAAAAGAGCCAATTCTATGCTCAAGAGATGGAGTTCTTGGGATACTTCATCTCTAATGAAGGCATAAAAGTTGATGATGAAAAGAAGACATAAGCCATTAAAGAGTGGCCGATCCCCACCTCTATGCAACAAGTTCGAAGTTTTCACGGACTTGCCTCTTTCTACCGGAGATTCGTAAAAGACTTCAGGCCATCATGGCGTTCCTCGAAGCATGGTATCACATAGAGACACTAAATTCCTTCGTCATTTTTGGATGACTCTATGGAGAAAGTTGGGTACTAAACTCAAGTTTAGTATGTCTAGCCACCCCTAAATCGAGGTCACCAACCGCACCCTTGGAACTCTCCTCCGAGCCCTCATAAATAAAAATATCAAACAGTGGGAGGAGCTACTACCACACACTGAGTTTGCTTTCAACCACACCCCGAACAAGACTACCAGACTATCCCGCTTCACCATTGTATATGGTTCGAATCCCTTGACCCCACTAAGGCTTGATCCTATCATAACGCATACCAAGTATAGTTGGGAAGCGGACAAGAGATTGAAGGAAATTTAGGACCTTCACAACAAAGTTCGAGAAAGAATTGAAGCCGTGTTTGAGAGAATTAGTGCGCGCATCAACAAAGGAAGGAAGGACGCCCACTTTCAACCAGGAGATCTTGTTTGGATTCATCTTAGGAAAGAGCATTTCCCAACGAAACGCAAGTCGAAGCTGTTACCAAAAGCCGATGGACCCTTTGAGATATTGGAGAAGGTAAATGACAATGACTACAAAATCAACCTTCCAGGAGACTATGGAGTATCGGCCACATTCAACATCAAAGACATCACCCCGTACTTTGAGCATGAAGAATTACGAGTTTGAGGACAAACTCTTTTGAAGAAGGGGAGAATGATATACCCCGGGCGACTACCAACGACTCTAAAGTCATTCAGAAAATTAACGGAATAATGGCTAAATGTTATGATTCCTTCTGGACCAAACTTATCAATCCTAAAACCCGCCACATAGCCATAATTTCCCTGAGCCCAAAGCCCACTTAAAACCCAGCCATTCTCATCCAAGCCAAACCCCAAAATATCCAAAATAACAAACCCAAAACTACATTTCTTTTCCTTACCCTTCCTCCCTCCATCCCTGACAAAAAACCCCAGCCCATAACCATGACATTACCACTTCCTTACACCTCAACTTGGTTAAACAAATAGCCACAAAATCCAAGACACTTTTGTTAGGCCTGAACCAGGGGTCTAAACGAGTTGTTATTTTGAGGAGGAATCAAGGGATGATGCAACTTGAGTTCAGGATTCTGGAATAGGTGATAATCGATTTACACAAAGTGACAATCGACTATTGAAGGCTGCAGATTTTAGGGAAAGAGTGATAGTCGATTATTTGGAAAGGATAATCGATTATTGATCCCTGCGGGTGTTTCCAATGGAACTGATAATCAATTGTGGGGAATGATAATCGATTATTTGGAAGAATTCTGGGCAGGAAGAAGGGTGTTTTTGTGGGGGAATGGACTGGAAATATATGGAGATGATGAGGGAGTTCTTTTGGGTATTTTAATTGGAAGAAAAGAGTTAGATTAAGAGGAGAAATGGGGAGGTATGAAATGGGAGAAAATCAGGGATGGATAAACCAAGTTGGTATTTAAGAGATATTACACACTCTTATCCTAACTTGGGGTTTGAATCTAGAATTTAATTAAGATATAACACACTTAATCAAATATCTAGAACCTAAAACTCACACTTAAGATAACCACTCTTAAAATATAGAATTAGGAATTTGGCTAAAATAGCATCACACTATTTTATAAATACTCAAAGAGTAAAAGGGAGTTTTTATTATTCAAGGTGTGTTACATTTGGCCATAGGGCCTGATTTATATATAGGCAGGGGAAGGGGGGAAGAAATACACAATACATTGAATGTAGACATAAGGAAACTTCCTATCTTATTCTCCTAAATCAATAGCATGACCTCCACTTGTTATTGTCCCTTTGGTGGGGAGAAAAATTAGGGATAGGTTGTACTTGTAGGGCAGGATTTTTGGCCATTAGTGGGGGGAGGGAATATGTGAATATAATTCACAATTGATTGGCTTAGGTGGGGCTGTTTTGGGCAGGAAAAAAAGGGGTGGGACAGCAGGTTATTTGGAGGTATTTCCTGGGCTAGATATGGGGTAAAAACATGGGGGTTGAAGGGTGTGGGTGTGGGTCAAGGTGTCTTGGATTTTATGGCTGTTTGTTTAGCCAAGTTGAGGTGTAAGGGAGTGGTATTTGCAGGGTTGTGGCATGGGGTTTTTGGCCAGGGATTCAAAGGGAGGGAGAAAAGGTTTTTATTTGTTTATTAAAAGAAGGAAAATAACAACAACAAAAGGTTTTGGTTTCTTATTATTAACCAGGGAATAAAATAGATGCCAAAGGCTTTATTTTGGGACAAAGAAAAGATAAAAGACTTTTGGATATGTTGGGAGGGGTTGGGATTTTGGTGGAGCCATCCAGGGGTATAACATACTCCCCTTCTTCAAAAAAAGTTTGTCCTCAAACTTTCGCACCACCGTAGGAGATTATGGTTTCATATGAGTATTCCCGGATCAAATGGGAAACTTAATGAACCACCAATATTGAAGTTCACTCCGGACTTAGTTGGCACCTCGTAGTGTATTTTCCGGAATATGATGGCCACCTTGGTTAGTACCTGCTTCACATATCCTTCAAAGATGAAATAAGATTCTTCTTCACCAATTGGACGATAATACTCTGTGTTATTTAATTCCTTAGAATATATAACATCCGGTGTAGTTTCCTCCACCACAACCTCGGAATCTGGTTCTTCAATGAAGACGTCATTTTCATCTTTGACTTGAAAATCAGAGACGTCTTCAACAATGACAAGCTGGTCGTTGAAGCTTTTCTTTTCCTCTTCACAAATTGTTTCTTCAAACAAAACTTCTGCACGTGAAGCTTCTTCATTAATCTTGGCCCATTCTTCATACGGTACGGCATGTTCATTTGGCCATATCCAGTAGATATGACCATAGCCACAACACTTGTAGCACCATTGAGTTGGCCCTTGCAAGATAGCCTCATTGGCGTAGATGATCTCCAGATTTTTGAGGTATCTTTGGACATCCATATCTCAACAACCAGATATTGGAATGATGTAATTCCAACTCTCGGAGTTAGATATTGAAGTCCTTAAAGACATATCAAAAATTTAAAAGCATTGAAAATCATTTGATGCTTCGTCGGAGGTCAAATGAGTAAGATATCCAGACTATTGGCGGAATTGCGTCTTTAACTTCGAATGGACGTATCTCCCAAACCGTAACTCCGAATTGAGTGAAGTCAGCGGCCAGACGTAGATAAAAGAGCAAACTTATAAACTGGAAAGTTTTACCTTAAAATCAATTTTGTACCTTCCTCCGTAATCAAATCTTTGGAGCTGAAAATTTCTGGAAAATTTTGAGAAACTTTACTAGTGCAGCGTTTGCGTCGCCGGTCCTCTGGGTAGTCGTCGAGACTTAAGAAAGTCGTTGAAGCTGAGCTTTGATACCAAATGTTAGGCCTGAACCGGGGGTCTAAACGAGTTGTTATTTTGAGGAGGAATCAAGGGATGATGCAACTTGAGTTCAGGATTCTGGAACAGGTGATAATCGATTTACACGAAGTGACAATTGAATATTGAAGGCTGCAGATTTTAAGGAAAGAGTGATAGTCGATTATCTGGAAAGGATAATCGATTATTGATCCCTGCGGGTGTTTCCAATGGAACTGATAATCAATTGTGGGGAATGATAATCGATTATTTGGCAGAATTCTGGGCAGGAAGAAGGGTGTTTATGTGGGGGAATGGACTGGAAATATATGGAGATGATGAGGGAGTTCTTTTGGGTATTTTAATTCCTTCTTTTCTCACTCTAATTCTCCTCTTTACCCCTCCATACTTTACCCTCTTTTAGTCCCTACCTATTTGGTTCAACCATAAATTCTCTATAATGTGTGAGAATAGGATTGAACCCCAAACTTAGATCTTAAATTAATTCTATATTGTGTGATAATCAAATATCTAGAACCTAAAACTCACACTTAAGATAACCACTCTTAAAATATAGAATTAGGAATTTGGCTAAAATAGCATCACACTATTTTATAAATACTCAAAGAGTAAAAGGGAGTTTTTATTATTCAAGGTGTGTTACATTTGGCCATAGGGCCTGATTTATATATAGGCAGGGGAAGGGGGGAAGAAATACACAATACATTGAATGTAGACATAAGGAAACTTCCTATCTTATTCTCCTAAATCAATAGCATGACCACCACTTGTTGTTATCCCTTTGGTGGGGAGAAAAATCAGGGATAGGTTGTACTTGTAGGGCAGGATTTTTGGCCATTAGTGGGGGGAGGAAATATGTGAATATAATTCACAATTGATTGGCTTAGGTGGGGCTGTTTTGAACAGGAGAAAAAGGGGTGGGACAGCAGGTTATTTGGAGGTATTTCCTGGGCTGGATATGGGGTAAAAACATGGGGGTTGAAGGGTGTGGGTGTGGGTCAAGGTGTCTTGGATTTTATGGTTGTTTGTTTAGCCAAGTTGAGGTGTAAGGGAGTGGTATTGGCAGGGTTGTGGCATGAGGTTTTTGGCCAGGGATTCAAAGGGAGGGAGAAAAGGTTTTTATTTGTTTATTAAAAGAAGGAAAATAACAACAAAAGGTTTTGGTTTCTTATTATTAACCAGGGAATAAAATAGATGGCAAAGGCTTTATTTTGGGACAAAGAAAAGATAAAAGACTTTTGGATATGTTGGGAGGGGTTGGGATTTTGGTGGAGCCATCAAGGGGTATAACAACTTTGAGCCACACCCACACCCTTCAACCCCCCTTTGTTTCTATCATCCAACCTTTTCTCGTGCCCAAAAAAGCCCCACCAAAGCCAATCAGTTGTGAATTATATTCACATATTCCCTCCTACCATTAATGGCCAAGAATCCTACCCTACAAGTACAATCACCACTGTGTTTTTCCCCCACCAAAGGAACATTGATAAGTCCGTTTCGTTCTTATATTTCACATCATATTCTAAATGTTATTGCACGTAAATAATATTTAATCATTTCATAAAATGTGATTTCAATGAATAAAACTCCCATTTTCGTTCTAAAGAGTCATTAAAAGGGATTGCACATAAAATCATCATAAATCATCCATTTTATGTTTAAATACTTGAGGAAAAGGAATAAATCATCAAAGGATCAAGATTAGGGCTTAAACGAGCCTCTGGGAGGATAAAATCGACGTTCGGGCAAAAAAGGAGCAAAAATTAGGCCAAGATCTCGCACCAGCCGCGAATCCCAAACGGACCAGGGCCTAAGGCGTCCATGTTGGACGCTTGGCCAAGTTGGACGCTTGGGAGTTGGACACCTTGGCTGGATTGCAGTCCAAGGAAGACACGTGGCAAAACCTGGTTGGCCGGAGCAGCTCAAGCATCCCGATCTGGACGCCTGGACTTGGACGCTTCAACTTAGACGCATCGGCCTCTGTCCTATAAATACAGCGCAATCCACCTCATTCCAATCATCACTTTCACTCCCATTCTAGGGATTAGCACCTTATACTTCAGTTACAAGTTCTAGTTTATCATTATAGTAGTTTTAGAGTAAATTTTGGAGGAATTTTGCTCCCGATCTGTTCAAATCCACTTGTACGGAAGTTGTAAGTTTCTTTTATTTAATAAAATGCTATTTCAATTTATGTTTGCATAGTATGAGTTAAGGGTCCGGATCTCTGGGTTCGGACTAGTTTGGTTGTTTATTATGTTAAATTAATGTTGGAATGGTTAATCTATTCTTCTTGCCTTATTTGGTCAATTAAACTCATAAGATTTAATTGGCTATTTATTGAGAAAATATTGTATGCCAAAGGGATATGATATTCAAGTGCAAAGGATTAAGTACAAATCTAGAAATGGATGAGTAGTAATAGAAATATTATTATTCCAATTGTTAATTTAATATGATAAAATAGATCCAAATGATGTCCTGACCCTAGATCTGCACTTATACTATGTAAAATTGATTTATTATTTCTACTCTGCTCTTTTTATAATTGTTCCGAGAAGACTTTCATAAACCAATCCTAACCTTCGCCTAATTAGATTAATTAAACTAATTCCCTTCGTCCACTCCTTGAGAGACACGACACTCGGAGAAAAAACTAACCCTTTACTGGGAAGGTTTGCTACCCGAAAAACTACGATTGTCAAATGGCGCCGTTGCCATGGAGTGGCCAACATTAGTTTAATTTCTTCTAATTAGCTTGGGTGAAGATTGGTTAGAACGATCTTCTCACTTCTTTTTCACCAACCACCCGTAACTATTATTATGGATAACTCCAGTGGTTATTGCAGTCCACCTTCTTTCTACCAATCACCCAACCTCCCTCCGTACCAAACCCATCCACCTTATCACCCACATCAGTACCCATATGATAATACCTACCATGTCAACAATAGAACTGACTACTATCCCTACCATGAGGAATCACCATATGATACTGTTATATCTAAGCTCAGGGTTTTATAGTTACAATCTCTTTGTTTGCAGAGAGGGGGAGATAATCGATTGTCCTAAATGGATAATCAATTGTTGAGGGCTTCAGGTTCTTGGACAATTTTCGGGGAATTTTCTGAGAAGTGTTGTACCCCACCATGCATCACCAAAGGGTAAGCAAAATCAGGAGTTAATGCTTAATTGTTATAATCCTTATTGGGTTGAATTCATTTCTTTTTTCCATCAAAAGGACCAAACCATAACCCTTGCTGCCCAAAACCTTCCCTAAGCCAAACCATAACCCATAAACCTTCTCCCACAAACATCCAAAATCATTTTATCTGTCCAAATAAAGTCTTTGTTATTCATTACTAAGCCTAGGCCGAAGGTGAACAACAAAAGGCAGAATAAAACCTTTGTTTATTTTTTTTAGATATAATAATCGATTATCCAACATAGATAATCGACTATTGCTTCCCTCTGAATCCTCCTAACGTATTCCTGCAATGCTCCCTAATCGATTATCTCCCAATAGAAAAATCGATTATCACTCATCTCAGAAGATATCCAGTTTGGAAACCAGTCCTTGATAATCGATTAATCTTTTTGTGTCAATCGACTACTGGATACCTCAGAAAATTCTTGGTTTAGCAGACACACCTTGTTAATCGATTATCACTAATAGATAATCGATTATCACCTGTCTCAGAACCTAGAAACCAAAGTGGTCTCTGATTTAACAGTAAAGGTTTTGTCATTTAGGAACACACTTGACTAAATACCATTCCCACTATATATGGACGAAATTCCCATGTTATTATTCAACAAAATCAAAGACTTTTATAAGCTTAATCCCTCATCCAGGTGCCTGCCCAAAAAGTCTTTGATTGAATAGTAATATCTTGTCCTATTACTCACTAAAAGTCAAGCCATGTTGTTTTCTTTATTCTCCCACCTTAAGGACGAAAATCATACATTAAGACCACCCAAAATACATGCCAAATCCCTGACCATTAACCTTGAATTCAACTCATTTGGGATATTAACACATGCACAGCATTTGTTTTATTTTGTAGGAAAGAAGTGGGAAGTTTCCTTTGTTGTATTTTATTTATCATGTTTATTGTATTTCTCCATTCCATAGCCTATATATTTCAGCCCTGGTTCATTGTATTAATCAGCTTGTAAAATATATATTGTGATAATATAAGTTTCTTGCTCAGCTCTCTCTTTCTAAATTCTATATATTAAATCCTAATTCTATATCTTAAGAGTGGTTCTCTTAAGTGGAGTTTTAGGTTCTAGATATATTAAATAAGTTGAGTGATTCCTTATTTAAATACTAGAGTTTAACCCGAGTGAAGATAAGTGTGTGTGATTCCTCTTATATTCACTTGATAAATGCTTCTTTCCCTCTCCCTTGTATTCTCCTGAATTCAGCCTCCCCTATATTTCTACACCTTCTCTTCTTCTTTCTCTTCTTAAATTGATATCCTAGACCACCCTGGGTCTCGGGTACAACATTTGGTATCAGAGCCTGTTGTTGAACATCTCTTTGAGGACCACAATGATAGCATTGATAACTGATTATCAAACTCAGATAATCGACTATCTTACCTTGCTGAATTTTCTTCACATCACCCCCTACACCTGGTTCTTTTAAACCATGTCTCACACACCCCAAAACATGTCCCAAGAAGAGCTTATTGCTTCAAATGCAAAATTGAAGACTCAAG